CAGCATCTCCCAGAGCTCCAATATGTACAGACTTTATACACATATAATATACACCATATATACGTATTTATATATATTCACACACCAGCCCACACACTCTCATACACTCACACACACGCACCCTTCCAGGAAGGGTGCGTGGCCGCCCCTGAGCCCCGCTCGGGCCTGGACAAGAGGCACTGGGCTTGCCAGGCAATTGTGAGGTTTTGTGTTTTTTGCTTTTAAAAAGAAGGCCATCTTCTCCAGAGGTGTCCTCCCTCTCCCCAAACCCAAACCACTCCCCTAAACACTCTGAATTTTTTCTTTTTTTTCTTAAAAAGGAAGAGGTTTTCCTCTGCCCTGCTCAGGTAGTTACCAGAGCTCCAGGCCCGTCCGCATGGCGCCATGCAGGTCCCTGGAAGGCATTGCCACCCAGTGCTCCCTGGGGACCCTGGACCGCTGGGAGGGTCCATAGCAGGCCGAGAGCCTGGCTTGGCTGCGGCCAGGCCTGTAGCTGCGCGGCCTGGGTGGGGGCTATAGCGTCAAGGGCACCTGCCAGATGAGGAGGGCGCTGTCCGTCTCCCCACACAGGGCTGGTTTCCCACTGCCGCCCGGGGCGCCGCCGAAGTTGCGGTAGCCCTGCCCTCCGGAGATGATAGCCACCGAGCAGATCTCCTTGCGGTGGGCGTCACGGGCACAGGGCCGGCTGCGCACCCAGACGTCGGGGTCATCAGCCATCTCGTAGATGGAGCCGTCCTCCTCACTGTGCTCCAGGGCTGAGCCGTCCATGGGCTCCGGCTCCCGCACAGAGAGCAGCGGGCCCGGGAGGTGGGCGGTAGAACGCAGGCGGTACTGCAAAAGGATGCCCTTCTTGCGGGTCAGCTCTCGGCCCACGTGGCTCGCAGGCACGGGTGCTGGCTCATGAGCCTGACTGTCTGGCTTGTCCTCCTCGGCTTGTGGCCCCTCGGCCTCCTCCTGGTCACTCCGCAGGATATCGGGGGCCAAGATGCTGGAGGCCATGGCCAAAAAGGCCACAGGTCCACAGTGACCGTTGAGCGAGACCATGCCTTTCCCTGCAGGAAGAGGGCAGAGAGAAGGGGCCCAAAGGCCCAGAGTTTTAAAGACCCAACAGGTCTCTTGGAGAATTTCTGGGTTTTGTTTTTGTTTGTTTTTTTTTTGGTTATTGCCATCTACGTTGTTATCTTCCCAGAAGGCCATGGGTCTGGGGGAGGGCTCTCAATGCTCCAGGGTTACTTTCTTTGGAGAACTGGAGCAGGGGAACACGAATGACTTTATAAACCACATGGGGAACCTCGGTGTGAAAGCACCTGCAGCTCCCTGCCTGAGCCATCCTCACATCTCTGTGCTTTTGCCCAAGCCATTGCCTCTGCCTAGAGAGCCTTTCCCATCCACCTAACTCTACAGCTCAGCCTTGAAGCCCAGCTCAGCTCCTCCACAGGGCACCCTTCTTGCCTTCAGCCATGAAGAAATGATCACTTCTGTCTCCATGCCCTGCAGATTCCAGGACACCTGCCATCATAGCACCTGCTACCCTGACTACAAGCTGCCCCTACCAGACTCTCAGCATTTGGGGGCAGGGTCTCTGCCCAATGCATCCCTGCAACCCCAGGACCAAATTGACCTATGTGATAAAATCATGAAAATGGGAAATCTTACAATTTAGGAAGAGAGTCTTCTTTGGCAGAGAGGTTTGAGCTCCACCTGGGGCTGGTCTCCCTCAGGACTTCTCCCTCCCACTGCACTCAGCCCCGCCCTCCGGCAGCAGCTGAAAGAGGCCACTTCGTCATCACCCTCAGGACAGAGGCAGAGAGGGGCCCAGAGCTCTGGGGTCTTCCCTGATCCTGGACCCCAGTGCCACAGTCAGGGCAGCCCTCCCTCTAATCCATGCAAACACAGCTGCACATGGATCCCCAGCCCCAGGAGCCCTCAGGTATTTCTACCACTGGAGCCTGGACACTTTGAAGCTGCTGTGGGGAGGGGGCAGAAGGGGCCCCACAGATCCTCTACCATTAGTCAGTTGTCTCAGCCAATCCCCAGACCATCTGGCCAATATGCCTACTGTGTCCATTGCTAGGTTAGGTAATTGAGACTCAGAAAGAAGACTCAGAAGGAGACTGCAAGGCCAAGGTGATTTAATTCCACTGAGCCACAGTGCCACCTGCGATGACAGAGGACGTTAGAGAATGGACCCCCACCCCCATATCAGAAGAGAGCGCAAACACCTGGGCACAAGATCCACCCTTCCCTGGCCGTAGGTAGCTGACTCCCCGGGCCCTGCAGGACTGGCTCCCAGAGCCTCACCTGTGATCTTAGGGATGCCTTCCAGCCGAGGCACAGGCAGCAGGACAATGACACCCTGGTCAGTGCCCACCCAGAGCCTCACCTGTGATCTTAGGGATGCCTTCCAGCCGAGGCACAGGCAGCAGGACAATGACACCCTGGTCAGTGCCCACCCAGAGCAGCCGCTCCGCGGCATGTGGGATCTTCCCGGACCGGGGCACGAACCCGCGTCCCCTGCATTGGCAGGCGGACTCTCAACCACTGCGCCACCAGGGAAGCCCAAGACACGTTCTTTATCCCATTTGTACTTAGAAAGGACCCTCCTCTCCCATTGGAGGTAACAAGCCTCCCTTTGATACAAAATGGGAAACTGAGGCCCAGAGAAGATGGGTTCATCTGGAGTGGATGTAGTTGGCCAGTGTCCAGGGCCAGGGTTCCTCCAGACACAGCTTCCCCCTCCTCCTCCTGGGCAACCATGCTAGAACACTCACCCGCACCCCACCCCCCGCCAGGAATAAGCCAACCTGTGCACAGGCTTTACCCTCCACAAGGCCTTTCCCTTTCCCTGCAGCACCCTTGACCTCCCCCAGCCCTCGCCCACTGGCTCATGCCTGCCCTACCCGCTAAGCATGTACTTCCTGAGGACAAGGGACAGAGCTGGCTGTGGCCTTGCTCACCTCCGTGGCCCCAGCAACTAGCATGGTGCCTTAGTCCAGCGGGGCTCAAGGGGCGTGTGAAAAGAGCGAACAAGGAAGTGACTCCTCCAGTGCACGAGGTCCCATCAGGTAGTCGGAACACGGCTGAAATGTCCCCTCCTTGGCGGCTCTTCCCCTGGGTTCACGGAGCTTCCCATGGAATCGCATCGAGCCGTGAGGCCGGGTCTCATTTCGAGGTTTGCCTCCCGCCTCGGCTTCCCTCCTCCCTGTATCCCAGTGTGGCCACTGTTACGTGTGGAAGGGAGGACAGGTGGGTGGGTGGGTGGTGGGCAAACAGACACGCCGACAGATGACAGAGAGGTGGATGGATGGGGGGGAACACTTCCCTTCTGGGTGGTGGGTTTGGGTTTTGGTGTTTTTTCTATAGGCAGCTCCAGAAACTTAAGGATGGAGATTGAGCCAGGTCCCCACCTGCCAATCCCACCCCACAGCCTAGGCTCTGCTCCCAGCCCCTGGAACTCACCCCATCCTCCCTCAGACCCAGGGACCTCAGCCCCCTCCCTCGTGGCTCTGTTGCCCTTACCAACAGCCCCAGACCCTCACCCTCCACACAGTGAAGCCCTTCAGTTTCTTTTCCTCCCAGGTTTGCCAGATGGATGCCAAGGCCTGTGCCTCCACACCATTCCAGAGCTGGGGCCCAGCCTTCTCTTCCAAAAACTTTCAGAAAAGAAACTCCCAAGAGCCCCTGCCCGAGCAGAAGGGAACTCTCTGGGGTGATGGAAACAGTTGTACCTGTGCTGTTCAATGCGGTTGGCACTCACCACCTGGGCACCTTGAGCCACACTAGAAATGTGGCTAATGGGACCGAACAATTGAATCTGTGATTTTATTTCATTTTAATTAATTAAAAAATTAAACAGCTACATGTGACCAACGGCGACTGCACCGGACAGCACAGTTCTAGGGCCTGTTCTCGCGGTGCCTGGCCTGGGTCCTTCCTGCTGGTTCCAGAACAACCCCTATCCAGTGACAGCTGCTCTGTCTCTTCGCCCATCACATCTCGAAACAACAAAACAAAACAAAAAAACAACCCTCAATCCAAGTACTGATGTTATTCTTGCCTTTTATTCCAGCATCTCCCAGAGCTCCAATATGTACAGACTTTATACACATATAATATACACCATATATACGTATTTATATATATTCACACACCAGCCCACACACTCTCATACACTCACACACACGCACCCTTCCAGGAAGGGTGCGTGGCCGCCCCTGAGCCCCGCTCGGGCCTGGACAAGAGGCACTGGGCTTGCCAGGCAATTGTGAGGTTTTGTGTTTTTTGCTTTTAAAAAGAAGGCCATCTTCTCCAGAGGTGTCCTCCCTCTCCCCAAACCCAAACCACTCCCCTAAACACTCTGAATTTTTTCTTTTTTTTCTTAAAAAGGAAGAGGTTTTCCTCTGCCCTGCTCAGGTAGTTACCAGAGCTCCAGGCCCGTCCGCATGGCGCCATGCAGGTCCCTGGAAGGCATTGCCACCCAGTGCTCCCTGGGGACCCTGGACCGCTGGGAGGGTCCATAGCAGGCCGAGAGCCTGGCTTGGCTGCGGCCAGGCCTGTAGCTGCGCGGCCTGGGTGGGGGCTATAGCGTCAAGGGCACCTGCCAGATGAGGAGGGCGCTGTCCGTCTCCCCACACAGGGCTGGTTTCCCACTGCCGCCCGGGGCGCCGCCGAAGTTGCGGTAGCCCTGCCCTCCGGAGATGATAGCCACCGAGCAGATCTCCTTGCGGTGGGCGTCACGGGCACAGGGCCGGCTGCGCACCCAGACGTCGGGGTCATCAGCCATCTCGTAGATGGAGCCGTCCTCCTCACTGTGCTCCAGGGCTGAGCCGTCCATGGGCTCCGGCTCCCGCACAGAGAGCAGCGGGCCCGGGAGGTGGGCGGTAGAACGCAGGCGGTACTGCAAAAGGATGCCCTTCTTGCGGGTCAGCTCTCGGCCCACGTGGCTCGCAGGCACGGGTGCTGGCTCATGAGCCTGACTGTCTGGCTTGTCCTCCTCGGCTTGTGGCCCCTCGGCCTCCTCCTGGTCACTCCGCAGGATATCGGGGGCCAAGATGCTGGAGGCCATGGCCAAAAAGGCCACAGGTCCACAGTGACCGTTGAGCGAGACCATGCCTTTCCCTGCAGGAAGAGGGCAGAGAGAAGGGGCCCAAAGGCCCAGAGTTTTAAAGACCCAACAGGTCTCTTGGAGAATTTCTGGGTTTTGTTTTTGTTTGTTTTTTTTTTGGTTATTGCCATCTACGTTGTTATCTTCCCAGAAGGCCATGGGTCTGGGGGAGGGCTCTCAATGCTCCAGGGTTACTTTCTTTGGAGAACTGGAGCAGGGGAACACGAATGACTTTATAAACCACATGGGGAACCTCGGTGTGAAAGCACCTGCAGCTCCCTGCCTGAGCCATCCTCACATCTCTGTGCTTTTGCCCAAGCCATTGCCTCTGCCTAGAGAGCCTTTCCCATCCACCTAACTCTACAGCTCAGCCTTGAAGCCCAGCTCAGCTCCTCCACAGGGCACCCTTCTTGCCTTCAGCCATGAAGAAATGATCACTTCTGTCTCCATGCCCTGCAGATTCCAGGACACCTGCCATCATAGCACCTGCTACCCTGACTACAAGCTGCCCCTACCAGACTCTCAGCATTTGGGGGCAGGGTCTCTGCCCAATGCATCCCTGCAACCCCAGGACCAAATTGACCTATGTGATAAAATCATGAAAATGGGAAATCTTACAATTTAGGAAGAGAGTCTTCTTTGGCAGAGAGGTTTGAGCTCCACCTGGGGCTGGTCTCCCTCAGGACTTCTCCCTCCCACTGCACTCAGCCCCGCCCTCCGGCAGCAGCTGAAAGAGGCCACTTCGTCATCACCCTCAGGACAGAGGCAGAGAGGGGCCCAGAGCTCTGGGGTCTTCCCTGATCCTGGACCCCAGTGCCACAGTCAGGGCAGCCCTCCCTCTAATCCATGCAAACACAGCTGCACATGGATCCCCAGCCCCAGGAGCCCTCAGGTATTTCTACCACTGGAGCCTGGACACTTTGAAGCTGCTGTGGGGAGGGGGCAGAAGGGGCCCCACAGATCCTCTACCATTAGTCAGTTGTCTCAGCCAATCCCCAGACCATCTGGCCAATATGCCTACTGTGTCCATTGCTAGGTTAGGTAATTGAGACTCAGAAAGAAGACTCAGAAGGAGACTGCAAGGCCAAGGTGATTTAATTCCACTGAGCCACAGTGCCACCTGCGATGACAGAGGACGTTAGAGAATGGACCCCCACCCCCATATCAGAAGAGAGCGCAAACACCTGGGCACAAGATCCACCCTTCCCTGGCCGTAGGTAGCTGACTCCCCGGGCCCTGCAGGACTGGCTCCCAGAGCCTCACCTGTGATCTTAGGGATGCCTTCCAGCCGAGGCACAGGCAGCAGGACAATGACACCCTGGTCAGTGCCCACCCAGAGCCTCACCTGTGATCTTAGGGATGCCTTCCAGCCGAGGCACAGGCAGCAGGACAATGACACCCTGGTCAGTGCCCACCCAGAGCAGAGCCTGGCAGATGAGGAGGCCGGTGACACACAGGTGCTTCTGGCCTGCAGAGGGAGAGGTCAGCATGAGCGGTACGTCCTCTCGGGGGGGGGCAGTGGATGGGGGCCACGGCAGGTGAGAAAACGGCACAGTCTGGGCTCCTCTCCTGAGATAAGCAAGAAGCTAGACAGGGTTGTGATTAAGCTCTGGGGCTTGGGAGGCTAACCCGGCTGGGGTCTGGCCCCTGGGTCCCCCAGCTGAGGGTTCCCCCGACGCAGCCTCAGTTTCCTCCTCTGTAAAGCGGGGCTGCCTTGAGGATGCTATGAGGGAAGGCCACGGTACTGGCCCACGTGAGCATGGCTGGCTTATCTTGGCACAAGGTGTGCACTAAGGGCCGCCCGTGCCAGGGACACAGCTGGCCAGCTGGGGAGTGAAGGGAGGCCTGGGAAAGTGGGGGTTTGAGGGTGAAGCAGATGGTGCAGACGGGATGCGTGGGGAGGGGTCCAGGTGAGTTGGCAGTCTGTTGCAGCCCCTTGGTTTCCAGCCCGGGCTTAACATCTTGCCCACACGGGCCCTTCCTTTGGCGAGGGCAGTGTGCCCTGCAGCCCCTGGTCCCAGCAGTGAAACGGGCACTCAGTGCCAGGCGCTAGCATGTTTCTGATGCCAGTCCAGATCAGTTCTCATCCGGCTATCCCCGGGGCTGTCTCTTCCTTTTAGCGAGAACAGCAATAGCAGGGAAGGCGGGTCCCCCTGCTCTTCACAGGGAGGAAGCACAGTACGGGCTGCACAGCATGGTGACTGCGAGCACAGCTGCGGGGCCAGGCGCTGGGTTCAAACCCCAGCTCTGCTACTTCCTGCCTCCGTGTCCCAGAAACAAAACCTGTCTGTGGCATGGTTCCCTCGCTTGCAAAAGGCGACAATGATGATATTTCAAAGCCTTGTCCTGAGGAGTAAATGAGCCAATGATTGTAAATCACATAATCCAGTGGCTGGTACATGGCACTCACAGGTAGGGGCCGTCTGCCATCCTCGCTGCTGTTCCACTGCTAACAATTCCGGTCAACGGGAATGGGCATGAAGGAGGGGCTGGGAGCCCACTCCTGCCCCTCCAAAGGGCCGTCTCACTTCTGGCCTGAATTGTTCTGCCCAAGGACAGGATTATTCTCTCCTCAAATTCAAAGTCATGCCATGACGCGAAGTGATGCTTAGAACAGGGGGTTCTCGAGCTGGGCATGCATCAGCACCACCAGGAGGGCTGAAAACGGAGGGGCCAACCCCAGAGGTGAGCCCCAAAACTGCATTTCCAGCAGGTTCCCAGGTGATACCGATGCTGCTGGGCCCGGGACCACACTTTGAGAAATACTGCTTTGCAGTTTCCAAAGCACTTCGTGTACCTGCCCTAGCCTGACATAAGCCTTGCAACAGCTGAGAGGTACGCAAGACCCGGATGCTGTGCTCATTTTCCAGACAAGGATTTTAAGGTCCAAAGAGGTCACCCAGCTGATGAGTGGGGGGTGGAGAGTGGGCAGGAGCAGAGCTCAGGTCTGCCGCTTCTTACGGCCTGATGCTTTCACTGCCTCTCTACTCGAGCAAATTACCTGAGTTCCATACCTGTAGGTGTATGGGCTTCCTCTGCAGAGCAGAGTCGTGTGGCTCCATGGTCACCCCAGAAGGAAGGTTACTATCTTGGGGTTCACACAGCATTTCCTAACACACTGGTCTATACCATCACCCATCCATTCGCTCGGCACCCCAGCACATCCCCAGGACCTACTGTGTGCAGGACGCTGCACTCGGTGCTGGAGGCACAGGGGGAACCACGCACACAAAGTTCTGCTCCTAAGGAGCAAACATTCTAGAACTTTCTACCATAATGGAAAGGCTCTCTACCACACTGTCCAATTCGGTAACCATTAGCCACATATGGCTACTGACACTTGAAATGTGGCTAGTGGGACTGAGGGGCTGAGTTTGTAATTTCTTTTAATTTTAATTTTAATGGTAGCTACTGTACTAATGCAGCCCTGGGAGGGGAAAGAGGAAAAGAAAACAGAAACAAGGAATATAGCTACTAGGCAGAGGAGTGAAACGGGGCAGTGAGGCAGAGAGTGGGTGGGAGGATGCCGGGGTTTCGTGCCTTACTCTGCTTCCTGGGGGGATGGGGAGGCTGCATCCAATGACAAGGAGGCGGCAGCCACGCCAAGACCCAAGCAAAAGCCCTGGAGGCGGCACGTGCAAAGGCCCTGTGACGAGATGAGCTCGCAGTCTGTGGAGGACTGAGCCAGTGCAGCTTGGGGATGAGGGCTCTACGAGACAACGGGGGGAGGGTCAGAAGAGTGGATGGGCCAGGGCTAGGGCTTTGACTGTTCATTCCGAGCGTGATGAGGTGCCACTGGCAGGTCTAAGCAGGGGAGTGATGCACCCGGATTTTAGAGGAGCATGTTAGCTGCAATGAGACGGAGGACTGGGGTGATGGGGGGAGCAAGGAGACCAGCAAGGCAGGGATGGTGGCACCTGAGACACGGTGGTGGCAGGGAGATGGTGAGAAACCAACAGGTTAGAGACAGACCTGTTGACAGACTGACGGGGAGCGGGGAGGGGAGAGGAATCAAGGACAGCTCAGAGTTTTTTGTCTCAAGCAGCTGGGTGCATGGCAGTGCTGTGGACCGAGACCAAGGAGGAGCAGGCTTGGAGTAGGAGTCCAAGTTCAATACCGGATGTCGTTTGAGATGCACATTAGATACCCAAGTGGAGCTGTCAGCAGGCAGTGGGATATAGGAGTCTGGCGACGTGATGCAAACTCAGCGAGTCTTATTCATAGTGTTGATTCAATGTGGAAATGGAAGCCACAGTGGGAAAAAAGCCAGTTTGTCAGGGGCTATTTCACAAACAGTATCTGGGTTTGGGGGAGCTGGGACTCTTCCCCACATCCTCATCAATTCAGAGAGTGTAGGCTCCCAACCACTAGGACAGCCTCAGAGGACAGTCCAGCCGTGGGTGATTCCAGCCCTCGTGAAATCAGAAAGTGCAGGAGGCTCGGTCTGTGAGCCCTCTCACGTCACCACCTATCTTCTCTTCTTGGCTCTGCTCAAGGTCTGTAATTCCTCTATTTCTCCCTTTGCTCATTTACTGTTTGCCTTCCCAAATGTAAGCTTCCTGAGGGCAGCAGCTTATCTGTGTCTCAAAGTTGATTCCCCAGCTCCTGGCCGAATACCCTGGTTCACGGTAGACACTCGAAAAGGACCTATGAGTTCAGATCTAGAGAACAAACTAGTGGTTTCCAGTAAGGAGAGGGGCCGGGGGTGGGGCAGGACAGAGGAAGGGGATTAGAAGGTACTAACTACCAGATAGAAAATAAATGTGCTACAAGGATATATCGTACAACACGCGGAATATAGCCAATATGTCATAGCGACTATAAATGGGGTATAACCTTTAAAAATTGTGAGTCACTATGTTGTACACCGGAAACTTATATTGTAAATCAACTGTACCTCAATAAATATTTTTTAAAAGGACCTGTGAGTAAATGAGTGAATGAGAGAATGAATGAATGAAAGCAGAGAAGTGAGTAAGGACACAGGTGTTGCTGTCACTTACCAGCTGCGTGAATCAACAAGCCACTGTCTCTCATTGTTCAATGAGTATTACAAATGTCCCTTGCTCGATTTTATGATTATTAGCAATATTATATATGTATATATACACAGGGAGTATGTATATAAATATATATGTCTATACACACACTATAATATATACACACAGTTGAGCACAGCTCTTGGCCCATAATATATAATCAAAAAATGGAGGCTATTAGGACAATATTTGTGATTATTAAAAGGACCTAGTCTCTTGGGATCAGCTCCATCAGAGCCAGAAACCCACGAAAATAATAAAAGCCAAGAGAGGGAGCAGTGGCAAATGTTCCATCTCACATGCCTCCCCTCCTTTTCCAGGGCCCCTGAGGCCTCAGGACCAGCAGGAGATCATTTCCTGATGCCCCTGCCTCCCCTCGGCCCCCACTGGACTGCAGAAACCTGGCAAACGAAAGGAAGGCAGCGAGAAACCAAATGAGATGGCGGAATGGAGAAATGACTTCATCTGCAGACCTCATGCCGAGGCCCTTCCTCCTCCCACTCTGCCTCGAGGAAAAGAACAAGGCCCTGCACAAACAGAACGAAAGGAAAAAAGAAAGTCTAATGGTGGATAAATATTTTATCACAGAGACTTAATGCAGCAGTGTTCAGCTCACCCAAGCCATCTATCTGGAGATATACAACTTTAAAAAGCTCAGGCTCTCAGAGAACATTTTATTAATGACCTGTCTAGTTAAGAGGAGGAGGGAGTTTAGGTTCAAAAATGCATTAATTCCAGTTGGGGACGCGAGTGGAGGAAAGGGGTCGGGGAAAGGAAGCGTGATGAATTTTTAACATGCCCTTAAAACATATCCGCACTTAGAGGAGGAACAAATTTATTAGTAATTACACAGTTATTTCATTTGGTGGGATGGGGGAAGAAAAAATACCTAAAAGCCTTTTAAAAATATCTCTAATAAAGAATTTAAGAATCCTGCTCTTTTCTTCTGCCGGGGCACAGTGTAGGGCGGATTTGATGCCCCCCTCCACCCAGGGCTGGCTCCTCCTGGGCTCACGGTGTCCCGGCCAGCAGGGGCCCGGGCTCCCCAGTGTTAGGAAAGGTCAGGTCTGGGGGAAGGAGGCCCAGGACAGTAACTCCTCGGGACCTTTGGGAAGCCCTGAACGCAGGAAGCTCAGCCTCCACTCTGACGTGTCCAGGGCCCAGCTCCAGGAGGTCGGGCAAGCGGACAGGTGGCTTCCGTCTGTGCCGATGTGGTGGGAGGGGCCCTGACTGGAGGGTTGGGGGGTGATGCACGGCCGAAGGGGACCAGTGCAATGAGGGGCAGGGACTGCCATGAAGATAACGATGGTGGACGATACCATCACGCACTGGAGCCGGGGACCGTGGGGCGCTGTCCTCACCGCCTCAGGTAAGGCCCACACCTGCCCTGAGAGGCGGGGACGAAAGGTGGGAGAGGCTCCCCACTTGCTTCCGGTCACAGAGCTGGAAGGCGGCAGAGCCAGGATCCCAGCAGGGCCTGTCTAACTCCGGGCTCTGGTCTGCCCTACGAGCTCTGACTCAGATCTCCGGCCCTCGCTGTACAGATGGGGAAACGGAGGCCCGGGAAGGGGGAGGCCGCCCAGTGAGAGAGCTGTGATTCGGGTCCTGGCTCTGGCCCCTCAGCGGAGTGACCTGAGGCCAGTTATTTAACCTCCTGGGCCTCCGTTTACCTGCTCATGAAAGCCAATGTCCTTTCTTCTTTAAGGGTAACTGCAAAGAACAAGTCAAGACAGTGGACGTGAAAATGCATCTTAAACCCACAGTGGGGTCGGAGTTGTGCAGCGGGAGCCTGCTGGGTTTCCACCTGCAGTGGCTCTGTCCACAAAGCCTGCCTCTGACTGCGTGATCAACTTGATTCTTTCTCTACTCTCCACCATCCCCACAGATAGACTGAGAAGATGCAAAAGGCCCATAAGATTATCTATTTCTTCCACTGTTCCACTAGCTTGAAATAACTTAGCTAGCGGCATAAATGTGGAAATATTTCTGTGATACTGAGAAACTTTTACTGTAGTTAAAATAGATTTACCTCATATATAAATACTATGAAAGACAATGAAACTAAAGCTAAAAAAAAGGAAGGAAGGGAGTGAGGGAGAGAGGGAGCGAGGAAGGACCCATAACATAGGTCTCCCAAGCCCCTACCCCAGACCCCAGGAGCAGGTTAGGAAGCCGTTTATTCTCCTCATGGATGCCCCAGACCTAGGCAAGGCGTTTTCCCATGCCTGACGCCATTTATCCTGAGCCAGGAACCACTCTCCATCCCACAGAGGGACCAGAGGCTCCAGGAAGCAAAGAGACCTGCCAAGACCCGACAGTGGCCAAGCCAGGACTCTGGCCACCTCTGAAAACATCTCTTCCCCTGTTACGACCAGCGGGACTCTGAACTGAGTCCGACCTCATGTGACTCCCTGTCCTGCCTCTGGCCACTTTACCCTGATGAACAAACCTCAGTTTCTGCATCTGTAAAATGGGGACAGTGAGCTCCTGTATGTAAAGCCCTTGGGACCTAGCTCACTGTAGGGCTCCTGGCAGGCTGGCAGCCACTAGGTACTATTGCTGTTGTTGTTGATCTTGTTGTTAGTAACCATTCCCCACTCCACCCCCCTTGGCCGCTTCCAGCCTCTGCCATGGCCCATCTGCCGAGCCCCTCTCACAATCAGCTCCAGGTTCAGCCTGCCACGCCTCTCTGTTTCCCTGGCCCTGGGGCCCTTCGGTGCCCCCAGCTGCTGCACCCAGCCCAGTCGGCTGAGCTTGAACAGGACAGTCCCCACACCCTCCCAGACCAGCCCCGGGTCAGGGCAAGCCAGGCCAAGGCCTGCTAGCCCTGAGGGCTGCTCTAAAGCCCGCTGGGGGTAGGGATGGACCCTGAGCACATGTCTGCCCTGGCTCCCAGCACAGTCCACAGGGATCTGGGCGGCAACTGGGGCAGCAGACAGTATGGGAGATGCCTGGAGCCGATTCTACGGATGCCTCGGCAGATGCCGGGTGGCAGCGGGGGTGCTAGGTGAGCTCAGATCTTAATCCTCTCCGTGGGCCTCACAAACAGCTCTGCAGGAGGAAGCACGGGCCCCAAGGGGATGATGTCCAAGGTCTTCACCCTCCCCTTGCCCCAAACCTGAAGGCAAACTAAGGGGGACAATTGTCTTTCTTTAAAAACCTCTAAGGAGGGCTTCCCTGGTGGCGCAGTGGTTGAGAGTCCGCCTGCCGATGCAGGGGACATGGATATGTGCCCCGGTGCAGGAAGATCCCACATGCCGCGGAGTGGCTGGGCCCGTGAGCCGTGGCCGCTGAGCCTGCGGGTCCGGAGCCTGTGCTCCGCAGCGGGAGAGGCCACAGCGGTGACAGGCCCGTGTACCGCAAAAAATAATAATAAAAAAATAAAAATAGAAACCTCTAAGGAAAGAGACCCTTAGTTGACCTTCTCTCTTTCCCTTTGCCTTATTCTGAAGGTGATTTGAGGCAGAATTGGGTTTTTGGTCAACCTGAGGAGCGGGAGGTATAGATGAGCCTGGCTTCCTGCCCAGCGTGGCTTTTTAGCGGCCGCCTGACTTGGGGGAGTCCCCTGAGCTCAGAGCCTGACTTCCCACGAGCCCCCGTCTGCTGTGCTGTGATGACAGCCAGAAGGGCTTTGGAAGGACAGGCCTGGGTTCAAATCCTGAGCCCACTGCTTCCCCTCTGGGAGGCCCAGTTTTCAAGGCTGACGAAAGGCTGCCTCAAGGGTTAATGAGATGGGCTGGGCTGGCCGTGGAAACTGCTTCCCGGATGTCTGCTCCCTCCCTCCCTTCACAGCCCCAGGACAGCAGGGCATGACGGCCCAGCAGCAGCCTCACCTGGCAGCAGGAAGGTGGTCCTGGTGGCTATGTTGATCTCCTGCAGATGCTCCAGCGTCTCCGTGTGAAAGAGGCGGATGGAGGAGCCGGAGGAGAAGGCCATCCAGACGCCGCTGCCCGCCTTTACCATGTGTGTCACACTCACGGCCGCGTCCTGGTGTGCCTCGAAGCTTTGCTGCGGCACAGAGGGAGGGCTGTCAGTGCTGGGTGGGGCCGGCCAGCCAAGCATCTGGGAGCCAAGCTAACCTGGCCTCTGTCTGAACCCAAGTCAGAGGGAAGAAACCTCAGAAGCCCGGCAGTGCTGTGTCGGTAAACATTTTAACAACGGGCGGGGGGAACCCTGGTGTGTTGTGTCTGCTGATTCCCGTGGCGTAAATACTTCTAACATGACCCATCTCAAGCTACCCACGTGACAGCACCGAACGTGGAGCAAGGGAAGACAAGCGCACACCAGGCTCTACCATGACGCTGATGCAAGGGAAAGACAGAGCTGCAAGTCTACGGAAGAGGAAGTGACAGCTTACATATATTATCTAAAGGTCTGAAGGCACCAACAGAACAGAACTCTCGGGGAAGGCAGGTGGGTGGTGTGAGCCAAACCCTCATCTTCACTGCAGGGAGGCAAGACATTATGTCCAAAAACTGATAAACCCAGAAACAGTGGAGCACACAACTGAGTCACAAGAAAAGTGCCCGGTGGATTAAAAACAGAACAGGTGAAAGTATTTTCTTCCAGGAAGCAGGACTGGAGACGGGGAGTAGGAAGGGCCTTTCCAGATAAACCATTATGTGCTATTTGATTTTTTTTTTTTTACAGTTTTAAATAAAATTTTGATCTTTCATAAAAAAGGGCTTCCCTGGTGACACAGTGGTTGAGAATCCATCTGCCAATGCAGGGAGACACGGGTTTGAGCCCTGGTCTGGGAAGATCCCACGTGGTGCATAGCAACTAAGCCCGTGTGCCACAACTACTGAGCCTGCGCTCTAGAGCCCATGAACCACAACTACTAACGCCCGCGCGCCTAGAGCCCGTGCTCCCCAACAAGAGAAGCCACCACGATGAGAAGCCTGCACACAGCAACGAAGAGTGGCCCCCACTCACCGCAACTAGAGAAAGTCCGTGTGCAGCAACAGAGACCCAACACAGCCAAAAATAAATTAATTAATTAATTTAAGAAAAAAAAAAAAAACTCTTACAAGAGAGGAGATAAACATCAGGCTTCCCATCTACTGCCGGAGAAAGTCTAAGTTCCTTAGCTGGGCTTTCCAGGCCTCAGCTCTGCCCCAACTCCCACCTCTCCTGGCAGGCTCCCTATGCTCCAGGCCAACCAGAGCCCGGGCCTGGAGGGTGCTCAGGATGCACTATGCGGCCACGCCTCTGCCCTCGAGATGGCCTGTCTGCAGTGTGCACCACCCACTGCCCTCCTGGGAAAAGCTTTTCACCATCCTCAACCGTGAAGCCCACTCCAGCCACCCTTGCACCGGCCACTTCCTCTGCCTGCCACATTCCAGCCTGACAACATCTACTCCACTCTGGCCCTGCTCGGCTGCCTCCCACACCGGTCCAGGCCCGTCAACACCCTCCCTGTTCAGCATAGGGCCCACTGCACAGTGAAATCTGGTCAAAGAGCGAATGGATGGATGCTTGAATTCCAGCCATGACATTGAGTTGTCACTTAAACATCGACAACCCCAGCGCACCAGGCTAGATAGAGGCCCAAGCACTGGGGACAGTCAGGTAACTCTGGTGCATCCACCCGGTGGACTGTCCTACATCTATTCAACGTCATGTTTACAGAGACTGTGTGATGAACGTAGAAGAATGTGAATGTTATAGCAGTAATTGCAAAAACAAACAAAAGCAAAAGGCCACATTCAACACTGGGGGAGGGGAAGGGGCAGGAGAGGTGAAACCTGCGCACTGAGGATTATTCCAGGGCCGTACCTGCTGATTTTCCTCCTTTCCAATTGTCTGATTTTCCTTTTTTTTTTTTTTTCTTTTTCTATAAAGAGCAGATCTTGGGTGGAAGCCCAGGACAGCAGGAGGTGTTGGCCAGAACATCAATGTGGAATCAGGCCTGTGGTTAAACCTCATTTCCTCAATAACTTCCCAGGTCTGGGCCTCAGTCTCCCCATTTGTAGATGGAGGTTGTCATGAGAGTTATAGGGACTCCTGGGTGAGGGAGAGCTTAGCACAAACCCAGTTCCTAATACGGCCTCATTCATCCAACAGATGTTCTTGAGCCCCTACGATATTCCTGGCGTGGGTCTAGGTGCTGGGAATATAGTGATGAACAAGATAAACAAGGGGCCCACACAGTTAAAACAAATAAAGATTACTCCCAACGGTAAAAATACTGGGTGCCAATAAGATTGGGTGACCAGAGAAAGTCTCTCTAGGAGGTAGTATTTGCCAGAGATAATAAAAATGTGAAGGAATCGGATCTGGGATGTGGGATGGGGGAGGGGAGAGCATGTCAGGCAAAGGGTACAGCAAGTGCAAGAGCCCTGGGGCAGGAATGAACTCGCCGTGTTTGAGAAACAGAAAAGTGGTCAGTGTTGGGGAGCACGGTGGCAAGACAGAGGTGGGACAGGGGGTCAGGGGCCAGATCACACCCGGCAGCCCTGAAGTGCACGGCGAAGAGTTTAGATTGTATTCAAGTGCGGGAGGGGGCTGAGCCTGGTAAGTGACAAGTTCAGGTTTACCTTTGAAAGAAGTTCAGTTCGAGGGCTGTGTGGCAGCGGGCTGGAATTCTGGGCCTCGCATGGGCTTAGCCAGTGACAAGTGGCAATAAAAGGACTCGGTTTCTTTTGCCGCTGTCACACCAGTCCCAGCTCAACCCCAAATCCATCCCCGTTCAAATCACTGGAGGTTTCCCACCGAGATAAAGAAGCTGGGGCAGGGGGCTCTCCATGGGGAGCCAAGCCAATGAACTCAGTGCTCACTCCCGATCAGAACACGGGGCCCAGGCATCCCTGGTGGTGCAGTGGTTAAGAACCCGCCTGCCAATGCAGGGGACAAGGGTTCGAGCCTTGGTCTAGGAAGATCCTACATGCCGTGGAGCCACTAAGCCCATGCGCCACAACTACTGAGCCTGCGCTCTAGAGTCCGTGCGCCACAACTACTGAGCCCATATGCTGCAACTACTGAAGCCTGTGCGCCTAGAGCCCATGCTCCGCGACAAGAGAAGCCACCGCAGTGAGAAGTCCGCACACCGTAAGGAAGAGTAGACCCCGCCCGCCGCAACTGGGGAAAGTCCGCGCACAGCAACGAAGACCCAACGCAGCCAAAAATAAATAAATTAAAAAAAAAAAAAGAGAACACGGGGCCCCGTGGAGGGCAAGGCTGTGAGACGGCTGATGAAATGGCTTTTTCTGAGCCAGTCCCTGCAGGCTGAGCTCTGCGGTCCAGGTGGGGTGGCCTGACGGATGGGCTGGGGGGGGGGGCAGGAAAATGCAGGGTCCCAGAGGAAGGGCCCCAGGCTGCTCTTGGGAGGCAGGGTCCCAGCGCGCAGCTAACCCCTGATGGGGGGGCCCCTCGAGCAGAAGCTGCAGCTCCCTCTGGGGCAGGAGTGCCTCATCTCCTTCAAAGTGGGCGCTCCAGTGGTGAGGAGGGGGTCGCGTATCAGGCCGGGCACACTCAGAGGGCAGGGAGCGATTTCCTCCCTCAGACTGGGGGCTCAGATAGGGCCTCCTGGGGGGGTGTCTCTGTTGCTCCTTCCTTGGCTCCCCTCCTGTGCCCCGGTGAAGGCCCGGGCGCTGGAGGCTCAGCCAGGCAGCCCTGGGATGTGAGAAGAGGCCTGACCCCCTCACAGCCTCCACAAAGCCGGGCTCAGTCCGTGCAGCGCAGGGCAAGGCGGGGAACGTCCAAGTCTCTGGCCTTTTGCTCCGCAGTCTACTGCCCACTGCCCTGGCAGTGCTGGCCGGCAGCTCCTTTCCGGAGAGGAGCTCTCCTTCAAGGAAAGAAACCGCTGTTGGGGGTGAGGGGTGGTTATCTTCCTGCACCAGCCTGCATTCAGCTTTCCTAAAGGCTCAGACCCAGGCCGAGCCCATGGTTACAACAGGACACCCCCCCGAGGGGGTCCTTGCTGGGAGAGTCCAGCCGAGGAACCACCAACCCCCATCACAGATGAGACCCTGAGGCCGGATCCGCAGTCTCGCAATGCCCGCCGTCAACGAGCAGATGGCTGAACGGATGGGGCAGTGGGATGGGAGGGGCACCCAACGTGCTTGTCTGCAGACTTTTCCAAACACCGGCACGCACGTATTTGCACATGAAAGCACAGACACATAGTAACCAACAGGAAGACGTGCGCAGGCTCACGCACGTGCAACAGACTCCTGCCCGGCTCCCGAAGGAACGTCAGAAGCATTTCCTGCCTCCGGAAAAGCCAAACCGCACTACAACCAAGAGACCTGGGCCCACGGAAAGCTGCACCTGAACCTGCGTGCTGCCGCCAGACTCTCATTAGAAGAGAACTCAGGGCTTCCCTGGCGGCGCAGCGGTCGAGAGTCCGCCTGCCGATGCAGGGGACGCGGGTTCGTGCCCCGGTCCGGGAGGATCCCACATGCCGTGGAGCGGCTGGGCCCATGAGCCATGGCCGCTGAGCCTGCACGTCCGGAGCCTGTGCTCCGCGACGGGAGAGGCCACAACAGTGAGAGGCCCGCGTACCGCAAAAAATAAAAGTCAGCAGAGGACATCCAGGCTCATTTCTCCAGAGGCATAACACGTCTGTCTCCAGGCCCAAAGGGCTTTGCCCAAGGCCGGTGCAAAGCTGCCAAGTCCAATGGTAAGGCGAGTGGGGGTGAGGGCAGGGATAGGTGTGAACAGGGGCAGCTCCAGCCTCCGCCCCTCACTCCTCAGTTATTCCTGGGCTGCCAGGACCCCTCCCCACACCAGGAGCCTGCTGGAGGAAGCCGGGTCTGGGGCACTGGGGCTGGGCCTCCTGGGCACGCAGGGCAGGGGTAGGTGGCACCCTGGCATTGTGGGTCCCCCAGGAGGGCGGAGGGAGCTGAGCACAGCACCCCTGGGTGGGAGCAGGCGGCAGTGAGGCCCAGCCCTGGCTGACACTGGGTTCGGAGCTGACAAGCATACATCTCATTTTGTTTTCCAAACATGGGGTGTTTGCCTGCCCAGAGCCGGGGAGGCTATCAGCTTATCAAGCTCTCCTCTCC